TCATTGCAGCTGCCACTCTTCACAACCTGGTGGGTGGGTGGGGGTTTTTTGGGGGGGGGGGGTTAGGGTTCAGATTTTTGGAAACCCAGTGTGAGATTGTACAATTTTCATAAAACTTTATTGCTTATAACTTTGTTCATCTTTCGGTAAATTATATATCAGTTTACGTGGTAAATAACTTCTGTGTAAAGAATGTAAAGAATGATATTATAATTATTATTATTACTGTTATATATTTTGGAGTGTGGCACGATGGTTAGACATATAAAGTCACACGTCGTGTAACACTGGAGCCTCTAGCAGGCCAGATGTTTGCCTAGTGGGAGCGGGAATGCCTTGCTGCCGTCCCGTAGTGAGGATCACAGACCGGGAGTCTGTTAGCTGTGCTAGATGCGTGGCTGGAGTTCACGACTGAGATGACGGAGAGATAGCTGACAGGTTTGCGTTGTGAGAGACACGCACGTTGATCATGGCTTCTCATTCTGTCCCACAGACGAGCGAGGCGGGGTCAATGCGGGGTCACGATGACATCACGTCCACGCTGATGTCACTGAGACAGGAGATTACCTNAAATCGTTAAAATCGCGTTGCGTTTCATGGCTTTGTATATACATACTGTATCCCGATTTGCTATTCTTGATACTACAACCAGAGGGGCAGGGGGGGTTCGGCGGAATTCCTCGAATTGAATCACCCCTGGCTACACCCACGTTATCCGCCACGGTTAGCCCACTGGTAATCCCAGACGTAATAAACAATCAAGGAAATCATGCGCGAAGCCTGCCCGCCGCCCCCGATCCATCACCGACGTGAATCAAACACACAACTCAAACAGGCACAAACCACACAGTCACAACATACAACAGGACACAGACACCAGGGGCATCACCCACAGAACAACCAACTCAACCACAACACAATCACACACACACTCAACACGCCAAATTATTAGTATATAGTAGGTTTGGAATCCCCCCTCTTGGAAAGGCTGGCTACGCCCCTGTACGTGGAACATGTTTAGTTTGTTTACTACTGATCATGAATGGGCTGCCCCTGAAAACGAAAGCAAAACATCTCGGCTGTCTATTCCCAGTAGCGAGCGTGCGCGTCGATGTTTTTGTAGTTGGGTGCAGCGGTGTAGTTGTAACACAATTTGCTAGAGAGTTCTATCCGCTGATACATCTAGGAGTAAAAAAAAGGTTTTTGAAAATATTTGTATGGATTCTTGCACACTCACGGTGCCACTGTAGCCAGTAGATCGTGGCGGTCAGCGCACGCATCAGGAAACATTTGTCTGTGAAGTGTGCTAGAGGAGTGTTTAGAAGAGGTGAAGTGTTAGAAGAGGTAAAGTGTTAGAATAGGTGAATCTGGAGCGGGTAGAGCTAGGTGAAAGCTGCTGGCAGAAACGGGAAACAAATGAAATATAATATATATATATTAATTATATTTATATATATATATATATATATATAAGGACACAACAGAAGCAGTCAGACACTACTTGATTACAAATTACGGTGATTTCAAGGCTGGTATATTCTTTGTCACTGCATGGCTCTACTATTGCTGTATTATTGCGTGTGGTTGTTATTTAGTGTGACCCTACGTAGCTTTAGTACTATATCCCGCGTTTAACTGCCGCAGGCGTGCGGCAGCTAATGAACGCGGGCTATAGTACTAGAGCTAGACCCTACGGTACCCGAACCCACCTGCTGTCGAGTTAGGTCTGAACTATAGCCCTTCACTCCGCCACAGGCTTGTGGCAGAGCATAGAGCGAAGGGCCCAAGGATAAAAGAGCTGTCCACATTTGCACATGTCGCACATTTGCGAAAATGCATTGGGGACAGCTCTTATATCCTTGAACCGAGCGGGCCGCTATGGGTCCGCTATAGTTCTAGAGATACTGTCGAGTGTACCTTTGTGATGTCGCTTGTTAACATTGGACGTATTGTTTGTGTAGTTATAACTTGGTAACACGTTTTCAGGTGAACCGGTGAGTTTGTGAGTCATGTCACACAAAAAGAGAAAAACTGATGGAGACTGCGGCTATGTTGGTTTATCAGTAAGGATACAAGACAGCGTGTACTACCAGGTATAGTACCATGCATATATGCACTTGCTATGCTCTCTAGCTCAGTCGTGCAAAACAATTGGGTATTCTTTCATGACTGTTTTGCATTAATTTGGCTTGCTTTGTTATGGAATGTCACAAAGAGACAGGCTGCTGTCATGCACTTGGTAATATGAATTTTGGTTGGATCTAGTAGTACTCAACCCATTTAGTCTATACGTTTAACTGATTCGTAAAATTTAGTGAAAAGTTGTAATCCCGGTAAATTTACAAACATGTCCTGGTTTCCAAACTTTTTTTTCGGGTTTTTCCTTCCTGTGACATATGGATGACTGGTATACCAAAATCATCCAAAAATATCAGGTATGTTCCGGTTCCTGAAAAATTAAAACGGTCTATTCCTGCAGCCAGAAAATAATTATCCCGCCTTCAATTTACAATGCTTGAATATATACATTATGTGTACACCCTGGATTGCTATTTAAGGGTCCATGCAAGTTTGAAGCCACGTGCTAAAAACTATTGTAAGCGTTGTTTTTTTTTAAGAACGCGTTGCAATTCCTATATGATTGCATTATTAATTTTGCTTAGATTGTGCATGTATTCATTGTAAACAGAAAGTTATTTAGTTAAATGTTAGTTAGGTATAAATATAATTACACTTTTGTGATTAGATTCTGGTTTGAAATGGGCAAAATAAATAGTGATAGGCACGCCTTTCTCAATGGGCAGCCGAGTCATAAAGGACGCACAAACACACACAAATTCTAGATTGTTGTTCTGCTTTAATTATGTTGTGATAATCTTGCAGAAGGACATTAGTAGAAGCCGTAAAAAGAAGCCAAAAGGTTAGTCCTCTTACAGTTCATATTACTGTCTACATTCTGTTATATATAAGTACTCTCTATATTATACTAGACCAGTTAGTTCTGTCTGGCAATTGGGCAATTCATCCCTGATTGCTAAAAATTGGTTTGAAAAATGCAGTGTAAACCTCCTCATGGCATATGCTCGACCGGATCAGGCCACAATTAAAAAAAAATCTTTGTTAGCCCTCACCCGACCCAGGCTGGAAAGTTTGGATAGGTAGGTCGGGTTCTTTCTTTTTTAGGGCGGGGGTCTTTTTACAGATTCAGCGTGGTGTCTACATGCTCGGGTGTGCTTGTGTGGAAATACCTTTTATGTTGAATGTTTCTTTTGCTTGTTACATATAATGTATTGCCTGCAGATTTATATAATGTACAGTGATACAATTTGTTAAGGATACTCTCCACCTTTTGCACGGGTATTGCTCTAGTGAAGATTAAACGTTTATTGGCGAATGAATCAAATCAATCACTTGTTTTATTTATAGAGGAGATATATCTCTATGCTCAAGCCAAAAAA